ACGTCTCTGGTAGAACCTTCTGTCAGCCAACTAGCTCTAATCGCCGCCGCGTCTATCCTGTTTCTATCTCTAATACCAACATTCAATCAAATCAAAGAAGGCAGTACCAAAACATCATACAGGGGACTGGGTACATTCTCAAACGTTTCGCCGGCATCGTAGTCGGCATCATCAGTGAGTTCTGCCATTATTCTTACCATGCTCATTTATGCCAATATTTATCTATCACATCTTTGCAGAAATAGATTACATTAAATTAGCATTAAGGTAAATTGTGAAGAGTTAGACTATATAAAGTCAAGTAGATATTTATCCGGCAAAGATGGATTTTCTATAAGTCATGCTACACAAAAATATATTTTTGAACGTTGATTAACCGCTGACGTGATTTTGAGAAATACGACAATAATCGTAGACTATAAAATTTTTTTAAATTAAAATTTATTCAAAGATAAAAGACCAAGATGGTGTGGCCTCTGGTATGGTCGTAGTCTCCTATCGATTAATAGAAGTGGGTTTACTTCGTTACCGCAACTTGGTCTTGCTGACAGGGAGACTTAGTAGAACGCACCTAGTACGAAACCGTCTGCCATAGTAGTTGCTCGACAGTAGACTTGGTACATTCTCAAACGTTTCTTCGGCATCGTAGTCGGCATCATCAATGAGTTTGCCAATCTCCGCAGCAAGATATGAAGTCGTCAAAGAAACAAGTGAAGTCATTCTCTCGACAAACGTTCTGCCAAAAACGGTTACACAATTACTCTTTTTTCAGTCCTAGCCTATCTATCCACACTTTACCTTCTTATTCAACTCTGCCTTGTCACAAATTCTCAATTATTTACATTCCACTCGTTAAAATGTGTGCCCTTTTGTGGAAAATCTAGTGTTGACTAATCACCCCTGTTTTTTACCCCAAACCCCTCTCTTTCGATCGGCTAATCCGACTCGGGCCTACAATCCGGATCCATTCATGGTCCCGTAGATCCGTTCCTTATATTCTGGTTCACCGATTTCACTTGGTTCCAGTTCCAGTGTGCATTTCACTCCAGGCGCTATTTCTCGAGGCACTAGAAGCCCATACACTGCTGCATCACCGAGAAGATCGTCTAGGCTCGTCTTCCCATGCTTGCAGATATCAGGTATTCCCTTCGCAGCTCGTCTTCTTGATCCAATCCGTGTGACCTTTCTATCATAAGAAAGGATGCACAACCACCAACAGCCTATGGATTACCGAAGATACACAAAGAAGGAGAGCCACTAAGGCTGATAGTCAACAACTAGTATGGAGAAACGCACAAATGGGCAAAGTTTACCTTTATAAATCTCAAGAAATTAAAGGAGAGGCTATCAAACACGGTGAAAGATTTATATGAATGTTCATAAAAAATCCAAAACATGGCACTGGAAGAA